ATCGCCAGCTCAGAATATAATCCATTACCTTTAAACATATAAAGGCACTCATAGTTCTAAACCGCTGTAACATCCTTTCTATTATATTCGACAACCTGCACAGGTAAGTACAGAATTACCCAACAGAGAGTGGCCTTACATTGAGCAAATCTCGTTATATCAAGCTCAGGTCTGCTCAAACGAAAAACACTAACCTATTAGTCAGCTAAAAATAAACGGTTATACTTGTTTTAAACGGCTACGTGTGACGCAGTGGTTAGAGATGCCTTACGACGAACACGTGCTCGGGGATTCGATTTTGCTTTCCAAACTCACCGAGCCCTCCATCCTTCAGAGTTGGTGAACTAGCACCAAAATTGTCTAGGAATATAGCGGCACTGACTTGATATGTCATCAGGCCCTCGTAAGTCATTGTGAAGACCAAATAGCAGCAAATCATCCCTAACGATGTTAGATGAAGTCGAATGCACGGTGCCTCCCTCGAAAATTGATCAACGCCGAAAGTTTTATCCTTTGTCCTTTTACATGTGTTGAAAGACCATACCCGTTAATCTTGTCCTTGTCAAAAAGATAGTACGGTATGATTAGAACACTTTTGAGTTCCTTTTCTGAAACGATACGGAATGAGGAAACGATTCCTTTCGCCGGACAAAAAATTTCCACGAGTGTCGGTAATCAGTCGAAAGCTTGAACTCCGGGCTACTTCACTACGTACTTGTTTTTTTAGAAAGGCTCTTTTATAGCGCTGAACCATTCAAGATAAAAATATGCCTGACACACCAACCGCCCACCCTTTCCTCCCACGTTTTTGTTTAACTGTACAAAACTATTTCCTTAGATACCTAAGAGAATTGAGTTGTGAGCAGAAAAACGAGCTCAGCTGGAAGTCGAACCCGCGTTTCATCCATACCGGGGACGCGTGCTACCCCTACACCACCGAGGTACATTCGCGCCACCACTCATACATGAAACATCGTAGCACTGCGAAAAAGGCAGCAAAAACATCAAAAATTTCGAGTATTCCTTAGGAATGCCAGTAATCGTTAGATAGCTCAAATATCGGAGAACTTCAAGAAAATATTTGCTCTTCTAGAAAAGCTTCTTTAGCAGCGGTGAGCAAAAAGAAAAGCTCTGAGTTTCACACGCCTGTTGCTCGCAAGACAGAGCTTTTCCTTTGAGTTGTGAGCAACCATTCGCAGCGTAAGTCTGAACGATTACAACGCCGACTTTATTTATTGAAGAATCGTTTTACTCCAGTCTAGTAGGAGAAATAAAACTGAGTTTCCATAGGCTGCCATTTCTTTGTCGGCTAGGGCTGCGTGGTCATAGATCGGTTCGCGACCAATTGATAGCGCATGCGCGACTCACATGTGTAGTGTGATTTTTGTTAATGAATTTAAGATTTTCTCCGCCTTGGAGAAAAAAAACTTCACATGAAACGTATGACTCTGCTTGAAGATTTCCTCTATACGTTCAGTCTTTTCGTGCTTCCAACGAATTATATGTGTGATAAAAATGAAAGCGCACGACGGGTGTGAAACATGATTATATTTGATTGTCATAACGCTATAATAAGAGCGCATGTGGCGCAGTGGTTAGAGGTGCTCTGCGTCGCACACGAGGTCAATGATTCGATCTCGCGTCCGTGGCTCACCAAGCCATCCATCCCTCCGGGGTCGGTAAATTGGTACCAGACAGGTCTCAGACTTGTCTGGGAGGATAAGCAGCACTGACTCGGTTCAGCGGGAGGCCACCGCGAGTCATTGTAAAGGCCAGATATGCATTCAATCACCTCAAACAAAAATAGAAATTGAAGTCGAATGCATGGCGCATCCCTCAGGGATTGATCAACGCCGAGAGCTTTATCCCTTCTCCTTTTTATAGCGCTATAAAAAGGCCCTTGCAGAAAACAAGCTATGGGATATCGTAGCCCGAAAACTGAGCTTTCGATTGACTACTATCACATTCATGAAAAGTTCTGGTCTAGTGAAAAGAGGTCGTTTATTCGTTCTGTGCCGTCTAACGGAAAAGAACCCATCTCTCATTTTTTTCGATGTATCTACAATACAGCAAAAAAAAGCAATGTGTAGTTCTGAATTGGTTATTTAATCAAAGATGTAACTTTGTACATAAGAGAGAATAGGTTTAAAGAATCAAACAAAAAACGATGACTCACCTGTCAGCATCGAATTTGAGCTTTTCTATGAGCACTTTTTGTTTAGATGTTAGTCGAATGACACGAATATGTTCTCCACCAACTTTTTGAACCACTACATAGTCTCCTTTATTGATAGTACTGCAATGTGATGAGACACGTTCATTCATGTCACTGAAAAATCAAGGGCTTCTGTGTGGCACAAGAAACCTACAAATCCATAATGAAACGCTACATTACTATGAAAGACTGAGGGAAGGAGCGGTGTAGCACAGTGGTTAGTGATGCCGCGCACAAAGTAACAAGGCTATAGTAGGCAAGGCTCTGATACGATCCCCTCGTGCAACACTCTTGCAATCTCAACGAACGCCTCAGCTAAGGTACCTTCAGGATCACAGAGAAAATCATCTTCACCAGCAATCCATGACATTTATTAAGAAGACTAAGGTACCACCTTGAATAAAGTCCGCAGAGCAATGGTTAGAGATGCCCTGAAATATAGAGAGGGTCGCTGGTTCGACCTCGATTTGGACAAACGCCGTTTTCCATATGACGGGAACAGTCAAGTAAACACTACATCAATGTGAGAGGATAAAAAGAAAGTTGTTAGGCCAATGGACATTGTTTTATGGGGCAAGGAAAACCCCAATAATCTTTTAGGTTTTACGGATGGAGTTCAATACATAACGATTTTTGAGAGATCGATTAAGGTTACCAATTCCCCTTCCCACTTTTATCAAGGTGCAGATTTCGCCAAAATTTAAAGTTTCTGTTTCGGCTGCTTCTAAAATGCTTCACATCCTTCCGTGAATTTCCTATAGGGTACTAACACACGGAGACTGCTTGGCACAGTGGTAAGGCGGTGTAATAGAAGATAAGGAGGTAAGCAAGGTGCTGGTTCGATCCTCTTCCCTGACACTCTGTAGTGATCAGTCGACGAACACCGTGGGGGAATACCTCAGCTCGGCTAACCTCGCGAGTTCAAGGAGAATCGTCTCGATCAGCGTTCTACATCATTTATGACAATATATATCCGTTTTCACAGTGTTTTTTTTTCACTGGGCGGATCCCAGTACTTCCAGCATTCAGTTCTTTTTTTCGTCATCTTTTTGAACGTCGTAGAATACTGGTTGAGCGAGTCTCTTTGTGATCTGGAGGATAGCCAGGCTGTGGCGTCCCACAAGGCGTCTTTGTTGTTGACTGCCGAGAGAGAGTTCGGGTGAAGCCCGGCTCTGCGTGCGCCGCGACCATGCACTCACAACCAACCCTTCACGACTATAGCTCAAGAAAATGTATTGGTGAATATACTGAGAGTCTGTATAATAAAAACGAGAGAATAACACTCAAGAATTCTAGTATTTTTACTGCTTTTTCGCAGGGTTATGATGATCCATAAAGACCTAAGAGAACTGAGTGTGAGCAAAAACATGGCCTCAAGCGGGAAACGAACCCGCATTTCATCCTATCCGGGGACGCTGCTCTACCACTACACCACAGGAGCACATTTGCCCATATTTTCGTTCACCACTCAGTTCTCTGAGGTATTTATAGAACATCATATTACTGCGTAAAGTAATAAAATACTGGAATTCTTGAGTAATATAATTAACAGAAGCTATCAGCTCAACTGGGTTTAGAAAGCGAAATCGCGCTAACATAGAGATGTTAAAGAATAAGTGGTAGGGCAAATGTCCCTCAGTGGTGTAGTGACAGAGCACGCGTACCCGGATAGGACGAAACGCGGGTTCGATTCCCGCCTGAGGCCATGTTTTTGCTCGCCACTCAATTCTCTTAGGTATTTATGAGGCAGAATAACAATAAAGAGTAACAACAAAAATAGAATAATAATGAAAAAAAACTACATAAAATAATCAACTATCTTTATAACAAAAATTAATGGAAACAGTGAATATAAATAAAAGTACAGAGTACGGGAAAAGTAAATAAAGAAATGTGGAACAAATCGTAAGGGGCGTATAAGGTGTGATGTAAAAACTAAAACGAGTTCAACATAAACAAACAAATAAAATAAACAAATAACCAAACAAGCAAACAAAACAAGTAAACATCAGAGAATAGCGCTGCTCAGGAACCATCCGTGCGCAACCCCCGGGGGGAATTGCGCTCGTCGTCGACGACGGCGGACGAGATTACGGATTTTTCTCGCTACCGTATCGCCGTCGCATGCGTGGCATTCGAGTGTTCGGTGTGCTCTGATCGGTTCCCGTCGGCCTACCGGCGCTCTCCTCCTCGTCCTGGATCATCAGTAGTGGTTTTTCTCCTTCCTCTCCGTTTTGTTTTTACTCACCGAACTGCTTGCGGTATCGATCCGTAGGTCACGGCGCTGGTGATCTAGTCGATAATAGCGGCTTCACTGGAAACAATCGTCTCCGTCAAAGTCAACAGATTACGGCGGAAATTCTGGTCAATTTTAGAAACAGGAAGAATATATGTGTTTTAAAAGTATTTCAGGGATCTATATGTTCCTAGTCAGGCTTACTAAAATGCGAAATATCTTGTAAAAAGTTGGTGGTCTTTTTTTTTCTGCGCGGTGAAAACTGTTCAAATAATCGATCTCTTTGTTTTTTTTTCTTATTTTATGACTAATTTCTGGTTTTCCCCATCGTCGTAAGCTCACTTTTACTTGGCAGTTATCTATGCAATCGTACAGTGTCCTGCTTTTCCTTCAAAAGTTAATGTAAAAACAAAAACTTATAACCTTTCGTCAGATGCAGAACTGTGGAAGCGGTTCTCAACTTGAGGAACCGGTACACGGCTAGTGACATTAGTAATAATAGCAGTAGTATTATCATACCTGAAGGAATTGAGTGGTGAGCAAATATTCGACCTCAGCCGAGAGTTGAACCCGCGTTTTATCCATATCGGGGAGGCGTGCTACCACTACATCACAGAGGTACATGCGCGCAACCATCATTCTACAATATCTCGATGATGGCTGTTAGCCCCAACCTTCAACAGGTTTTGATCGGGTATGCGATTTCGTTTCATAAACCTAGTTGAGCTGACAGCCAATGTGACATGTAATAATAGAGAATTAAGCATGAGTGGTGGCGCAAATGTGCCTCGGTGGTGTAGTGGTAGCACGCGACCCCGATATGCATAAAACGCGGGTTCGACTCTGTCTGTGGTCGAGTTTTTGCTCACCACTCAATTCTCCAAGATATATATATATGTACTACATATATATATATATATATATATATATATACATAGAGCGCATGTGGCGCAGTGGTTAGAGGTGCTCTGCGTCGCACATGAGGTCAATGGTTCGATCTCGCGCTCATGGCTCACCAAGCCATCCATCCCTCCGGGGTTGGTAAATTGGTACCAGACAGGTCTCAGACTGTTTGGGAGGATAAGCAGCACTGACTCGGTTCAGCGGGAAGCCCACCTCGAGTCATTGTAAGGGCCAGATATGCATTCAATCACCTCAAACGAAGTTAAAAATTGAATTCGAATGCATGGCGCATCCCTCAGGGATGATCAACGCCGAGAGCTTTATCATTTATATATATATTATATATATATATATATTATATACATTACATATGCATATATATGAAGCATCATAACACTGCGAAAAAAAGCAGTAAAAGTACCAGAATTCTCGAGTAATAAATTACATTTATTTCTCTTTATTTACACGACTCGTCATCACATTTTTTTTGTGCGGATCCCAGTACTTCTAGCTTCGATTCGCTTTTTCGTCTTCTTCTTGAATGCCGTAAAATAGTGGTCGAGTATGTCTCCTTGCAATCTGGAGGATATCCTGGCTGTGGCGTCCCACAAGGCGTTGTTGTTGTTGACTGCCGGAGAGTGTTCAGGTTGGAGCTCAGCTCTACGCGCGCCGCGACGAGCATCACAACCGCTCGCCCACGTCGCCCCCCGGCAGTAATAATAGTAGTCAATGATAAAACTTAGTCGTTACATAAGTTTTGACACTGGAGCAATGCACACGAAATTTGTTAACCAGAAGGAGCTGAAATTGCATATTTTTGGTGTCGTTCAATTGAGTATTTTCTTGCGAATATTCTGGTATACACCTTGCCTATACTTAATTTGAGACGGAGGTGTCCTGGAAACAAATTCGCATGCTAGTTATGCATGAATGGCGCGTAGGAGAAATGCTGGTGAAGCGGCGCCGAAGATTAATGGAGCTTCGGGGCGATAACAGGTTGCACAATTAACGGCTGGGAAGTGCTTCGCGAAGTTCAAGGCTGGAAAGGATAGTCTGGAGAGTCAGCTGCGCTTGCGCCGTACAGAGGAAGCCCCGCTAATCTCACGCGCCATTACACTGGCATTTTCCCCCAGACGTCATTCGTGCATGAGTAGCGAGCGAATTTGTTCCCAAACAGTTCCATCTTGAGATAAGTATAGGCAGGTTGTACAACAAAATGTTCACGAGAAAATGCGAAGTTGAACGATACTAAAGTCATGTAATTCTAAGTACTTCTGATCAGTAACTTTGGTCTTATTGCTCTACTGTCAAAACTCATGGGAGCAAGCTAATATCAACATGCGGTTGTATAGCGCCCTTCTGCTTTCCCTTAGAAGTCCTCATGAGAACAAAACTTATGAATTTACAACAGATGGGTACTGGGGCCCGCAACCAACGCGAGGACCCGATACTTGGCTGGTAATGATAATCACCTGTATCACCTGTGTCACCTGTCGTCCCGTTGATCGTCGAGTGACTCGAGCGGGTACCACCAACACTTCCACTTTTCCCTATCGCGCGCAAGAGTAGCCCAGTGGGTCCTCCTCGCTCGTAGGGATTCGCTGAGCATCATAGCTTTCTTCTATCGCTTTAAGCAATAAGCTACTCCGCGCCTCCCGCTCCCGAGAGAGACTGGCACGCGATGTGAGTGCCCAGCCCCCACGTTTAGAGCCTGGCAAGCTATACGTTGGGTATCTAAATGTCAAAAACAGTAACAAATATGGGCCTCATTCCCCTGAACCCCAGTAATGATGATAGTGATAATAAATATTGGTAATAAGTGTATTTGTAATAATCTCGGATTTCGGTGTACTTGTAGTTGAGAGAGATTTCCAAGAATACCGGAAAAGTTTCACGTTTTTATGGTTGTGGTTCATAGTAAGACTGTGATAGTAACGTGCTTTTACTACTAGAATCCAACATCAGTAATAAACATACAATATATATATTAGCCCTCTCGGGACCGTGGACCCACCCCTCTGCATCTCTAACTTACATCGTAGGCAGCGCCGGATGGTCTGCTCCACCTCCTTCGCATTTCTAACCCCCAGCACTGAATGTATTATGTGAGATTGTATTGAATGTATTTTCGCATTAGATTTGTGTGCTGTTATAACTAGGCAAATAACGCAATGCAATAAAAATAATAAACCCAATGATGTAGAGTGGTGTGCAAAGACGTTTGCCAAAATTTGAACCCAGATCTTACTCTTTCCGATAACGCGTTGTAGCGTAGAAAGAGTGGAGTGCAAAACGAGCGTCGGTGGTGCAACGGTTTAGCACATGCTCCCGGAAAGAGTAAGATCTGGGTCCAAATCCCAGCTGACGCAAACATTTTGGCACACCACTCTACGTCATTGGGTTTATAGAAACACCATAACACCGCAATAGGCGGTCAAATAAAATGATTTCGGATTAAAATGATACAGTAATACATTCAGTGCTCTCCCTTGCTGGGGTTGGAGATGCAGAAGGGTGTGCCACGGTCCCGAAATGGTTAGAAGTACTTTGCGACGCATAAGCGGTCAATGATTCGATCTGCGCGCCCAAGGTTCACCAAACCTTCCATTCCTCAGGGACCGATGGGTTGGTACCAAGCTTTTACGGGAGGAATAATAGCTCTGAACTTGATACATTGGTAGGCCACCTCGAGACATTGTGACGGCCAGATATGCGTTCAGTCACCTATATCGAGCTCGATGAAATTGAATGCATGGGGCATCCCTTACGAATTGCTCAGCCTCGAGAGCTCAGCCATTACCCTTATTTTTCACAAGCTTCTAAGAGAAAATTAGAATTCAAAGTATCAAATTGACACGAATTCTTTGTTATTATTGCTTTTTTGCTGTAATATGATAATATAATTACACATTCAAAACTGCTGAGCGATACACAAGAAAATCAAGCCCAGCTAGGAGGCTGAGCGCGCGAACTTATACTCGGGCACGCACTACCTGTACCTTCTTGGAGGTTGCTCGCCTTGTAATTACTGCCACGTGGGACTCTAGTTCCTTCTCGACGTAGGCCGAACAGCCTCAAACTTGGGTAACTAAACCTTCACATATAATATTATAACAACAGCAAATAACGATATTGATGAATGTGTCTAGACGTTAATCAGGAATATTTTGTTTGACCGCCACTTGCGGTGTTATGATGTTATAATATACCCAATGTTGTAGAGTGCTGTACAAAAACGTTGTGGGGCAACGGTTAGCATACCCTCGCGGAAAGAGATCTGGGTCCAAATCGCGGATGACGCAAACGTTTTTGTACAGCACTCCATACTATTGTCCACAAGTTAGATGATTGATATGTGATCAATAACTCGAATGTTAGCTCGAAATTTTTAGTGTTTTCACTGCGTTTTTCGCAGTGTAATGATGTTTCATATCCACCTGAGAGAACTGAGTGGTGAGCAAAAATACGACCTCAGACGGGAGTCGAACCCGGGACGTCCTCGGTATGGATGAAACGCGGGTTCTACTCCCGTCTGAGGGCGTATTTTTGCTCACCACTCAGTTCTCTTTGGTGTGTATTGAATATTAGCGATAACACTACATAAGATCTGAGGAATAGAGTTTTAATCAAGGATAAAATAATATGCAATTGACGGATTAAATGTTAGAGATAATCTTACGTAAGCGCGGAGGTATAGAGCTCAATCAAGGATTAGGAGCGTGATGACGATCGAGTATCCGAACGATACACGTGAAATACGAGAAGCAGTTTTATGAGAGTAGCGTAATATGTGATAAGTAACAACGAAATCTGAGGATGAGGGCTACTCTGGGAAGGGCTGATGGCCTGATACGTTGTGCGGGTGCAATTTCGGACACAACAGAGTTAAGTGCGACCTTGACTAGGGGTTACGTTGAATTACTAAGATACAAAGTGAACAGTAAGGGGCCACGGGAGGGGGGGGGGGGGGGGCGACCTTATCGGAGACGGAGTAAGTTACAGTCATTTGGATGGGAGGGAATATGTCGATCCGATTACTCCTAACAAAGTGCTCCAGAAATGGAGTGATATAGCAGTAGAGACTTATTTATACTACTTACTGAGAAGGTTTAGCATCATTTTAGTTTGTAATTATCAATGAAGAGGTAGAGGAAATTGAGACTGAATGGTGGCGACCACTACGAAGCAATCTGATGCGAATAAAGTGCCATCGGAGGCGTGCCCTTTGACAGTCGTTTGAGATTTATTCGTTCGCCCTCTGTCTGGAAACCGTCCGAAGTGCCAGCTGCGAGCCAAAAACTGTGCACCTGCCGACCCGAGTCGCTAGCCGTCACTGTGACTCATTATCTGACCCTTTTAATTTTTTACAATTTTAATATAGTATATTTGATGATATGAGCGCATGTGGCGCAGTGGTTGGAGGTGCCCTGCGTCGCATACGAGGTCAATGGTTCGATCTCGCGCTCATGGCTCACCAAGCCATCCATCCCTTCGGGGTCGGTAAATTGGTACCAGACAGGTCTCACGGAATAAGCAGCACTGACTCGGTTTAGCGGGAGGCCTCCGCGAGTCATTGTAAAGGTCAGATATGCATTCAATCACCTCAAACGAAGTTAGAAATTGAAGTCGAATGCATGGCGCATCCCTCAGGGATTGATCAAAGCTTTATCCTTTATTCTTTATATTTGACGATATGCGACAGAAATATACATAGAAG